TCATTTGTGGCAGATGATGCAGGAACCCCTCACTCACCGTTAAGATTGAGAGAGACGCCTGGGGTTCAAGCCTGATTGCCATACCCAGCCTTAAATCCTAGCCTCGATTCCGCAGCTGTGATCCATTCCCCTGTCCCAGAACCAGGCGCATTACACAAACTGGGATTTAAGGTAGAATTTTAACTGCCAGACAGTAGAATCCTTAAAAGTAAGCACGCTCTTTAGATGTCTAGTAGTTTTCCTTTTAAGGTAGGTCACTGGCAGATTCATGTTAGGTATACAGTAGACCACCCAAGACCCTTCTGGTTGCTTCCAGTCTGCGTAAAGGAATATACTCAATCTGGTGAGACTGTGATGAGCTATAAAAAAAAAATATATATATATATAGTTTTTAGCTATACATGGCAAGGTTTACTCATTATGTAAATGTGCCATGTCGCCTACTTAGCAGTACAGTGGTTGTGCTTTGCTGCACTACATATCGTGAAATGACTTGGTGACGGGGAAATTAAATAAGTTCTCTTTATTAGAAGACTGTTTACACTCACCTTTCCTGCTGCCCGGAAATCTTCGCTCTCGAGGAGCCACAGCCGTCGGAAGAATCTTCACACCCAACATACTTCCAAAAGCGTCAAACTGCACCACCGTCCCAATTGCTACTACATCACCAATGTATCCTGTAGTGATGTGTGTGCTGGCAGAGGGAACCACAGCACGTGGAAGGCAGGGCAGGCATCTGCCAAACCCAGAAGTGTTGGATGTGAAAATTGTTCAGGCAGCCAAAGCTCTTAGAGTTTAGATTCCAGCAATGGGTGGCGGGACTGGTGAGTATAAGCAGTCTTTTATTGCATTGTGGCAATGCAGTATTGTCTATAGACATACCCCTGTCCAAAGACATTAACCCCTTCATGACTGAGCTTGTTTTTAGTTTCTGTTCGTAAATGACTGACACACTTAGAATATTATTTGACTGAACCAGAGTAGTTTCTCAGTACAGATTTTAATTATTTTTACCAGTAGATAGCCACTAGAACAGCACCCAACCCTGTGTGTGAAATATCTGGTAAAAAAGAAAAAGGCACAGAAAACAAGTAAAAGGTAAAAGAAATGTTCATGCCAGCTTTGACAGCTACCTGCAGACTGCAGACAGATGAATGAAGGGTACCGCAGGGCACACTCCATGTCAGTGCAGTTCTGCAGTTCAGCAAACAACATTAAGTTTTAATGTAATTTTTACATTTTCTTTTTCGTTTGTACGCACTTCTAAAACTATCCTGACTTTCAGGTAAACAAAATAATAACAATTCAACATATGCACCTTGGCTGCTTAAAAATGATGTATATTTTACAACTTTAAATCATTAGTAGGTTTTAACCAAAAAAAGACATACTTTGGGTGATCACAATTTATTTTTTATTTTTTTATGTACATTTTCTTATTGAAGTTATACAAATAAATGAAAAAAAAAATGCAACACACAAAAACAAAATGGAAGAAAATTAAAAATTAACACATTTTTGTCTCAAAATCTATCCACTGCATTCATTTTATTACTAAAATAGACATCCCGTTTCAGATTCATGTCAAGCAATTTCACTACGACTTACAATTTCAAACAAACACGCTTTCATTCATAAAAGGTTATTATGAGAAAAGAATTAGCTGGGAATATTACAACAGATTTTACCTACATGCATACAACCAGCTGTTATTAAAAGGGTTTTCTACTTTCAGCATAAAAAGGCAAATCCCTTGAGCCAGGGAACTGCTTTGCAGTGGGAGTCATACCTTTCGGAATCAGTTCTATGGATCATACTCAGGTGTGACAGGAGCAAGTCAGCTCAAAAGGAAAACAATTCAACTTTGGTGAGGTACATGTATGGAGTCACATTCCTAATGTTTGTTGGTAGGGACGCTAGTTTCCACATATCTGTCATGTATATCCTGCTTGCAACCACTACCACACACCAGCAGAAGGGAAGAAGACTTCATGGCTGCGCCAGATTTAAAAATAGTTGGCTTGCTACATGAATGGGCAGCATAGTGAAATTCCAGAATGGCCAACTTTGGCATAAATATTATGGAACACATCATTCATGTCAATGAACCAAAACCGCTCTGTGCAGTCAAATGCTAGATCCCAGCCTTCTATTCATGATGGTCATCCTTTGCCCTGCTAGACCCAGAAAGTAACTTTAACACCTGACCAAAAGATACCTAGGTGAAGTCTGAAGAAAATATTTTTTTTTTGTTGAAAGTGAAAAACCCTTTAGATGAAACCTGCATTGCAACAACCACATAGATAACCAAGACTCAATCCAGCAGAGTCCTTCTGGGGTTCCTGTAAGTAGGCCAGTTTTGGACTGTAGAACAGAGAAGGGAATAGGCATTTACAACCTAATCAGTAGCTGATTGCCACAAAGGCTACCACAATGTCCTGCACTGAATTAATAAGGCTTAAAAAATAAAGCAGTTCACTCACACATCAGCACATTTGATAAAGCAGACCAATAAGCCTTTGATTATCCTTTATAAACCTCAAATATGAGAGGCGTTTACAGAATATATCTGTCCTGCATACACAATACTCTGTTCCACTATCATAGCAAAAGAGTTAAAAGGGCACTTTTCTTTTTTGTTTACCTTTTTTGGGCATTTGATTTTTTTTTCTTTTAAATTTTTGGCTATCACACAATAAATACCAAATCTGAAGAAACAGACAACATAAAAACTTGAGAAAAATATAATCCAGGTAATGGCAAATAAAATATCGCTACATAACCCTTGTGGCCTAAAGCCGTGTAATAGTACAGAGTGCTTTCCTCTTGGGAAGCCAATCCTCTAGTGGGTCTCTTTCAGCATTGACGGGTTTAATGCTTATTGACCAAAACATTAAATAAAATTTCAAGTATTGAGAGACAACATTTTTATATGCAGTGGTGCATGATCATGCTATTTGAGTGGCTGAAAATAGACATTTAGGCTGGCCATACCAGACTTCCACTTTGTTAACAAAAGCTTACAGCTTCCTTTTCATATTCTAAGTACAATTTTTCAAACAACATTATGCTCAGGCAGCTAAGATTTTCCAGCATTATGAAAATCAAACTACCACTTTTCTTTTTGCACTTAGCAGTCATTTGTGAATTCCATACATGACAAAATTATTGCACACAATGCTCGAATATGACGCATTGCTTATGAAAGACACATAGGATGTGGCCATCGTCCCGATCATGACTGCAACACTGCACCAAACAGATGCTCGCATGTTTTGGGGCCTCCTAATGCCCCTTCGGCCTCCAGCTGAGGTAACACCGTGAAAATACTATAAAACTTACCATTGTTTACTACCAAACAGGGATGTATGAGAACACAAGGTGATACAACTTTAACTGAGAAGGATAAGAGATCTACTGCCTGAACATGACCAACTGATAAAACAAGACCTGTAAACCAGGAGTTATGGCGTAATACTTAGCAGTCCTTATTACAATGTAACAGCTCCACGTAGATCCCATGGCTGCTATCACAAGAATATTGTCTGTGCCAGGATTTACTAGCATTTTGCCTCCTGATTTTCTCTTTAGTTATGGCCCAATAGTGAACACAAACAGAATCTCAAGTCTTTAATGAATTAGCATGGAATTATTTTGTTGAAATGTGTATACTATGACTGATGGGTCCTTTGTAGTGGCAAAAATCCCATATGGCGGAAGTAAAAGCTATCTTTAAAATCCTTTTAGGACAGTTGCCAGACAGGTCCAAGTACACAAAAAGAATGGCAGTTCTTGTTAAATGGATCCATTCCATGGCGTACAGAAATAAATCGGTACGCGCTGACAAAAAAAATAGAGCAAAACGTTGTTGATAGGAAGACGAAGCGGCGACAAATGTGGGACAGCCACACTTACTGCTAATTACAATCCAAGAAAATCTATATTATATACATATATCTTTATGTACATCATAGTATATACACTGGTAGTGTAGTTCAAAAGGAAATGAGACCAGAGACAAGACGCATCCTTGGCTGATGGCAACCTTTCTTCCGACTCTCTGATAGCGCAGCCTACCATAACACAGGGTTGTTACTTGGGTCATTTCCTTTGTTTTGGTTGATGTTCTCAAATCTTGGTTGGGAATAAAGTGCAAGGTATATATTTTTCAAAAGAACATGCAGCCATCTGATATTCATCAACGTTGCACTTTGTCCGATGGAAACATCTGCTTGTGCGATCAGCAGATCTTTCCCCATTCAGTTCATCCTTCAGCATAGCTTTACCAGCTGCAATAGTTTTAGTAAACTTTGCAAGGTTTACAAAATAGCTTGGAGGGGTTTTGGAGCCAGGTAAAGAGAAAAGATGTATTATTATGGGACGAATCCTAGGATATTGTCTTTGCCAGTGGCTGGGATGATATAAAGTCTGTGAAAGATGTCATTCTGTGCAAATTCTTTGTAGTTCCAAGTTGTGGCAAGCATTTTGAGGATTTTCCAATTGCCCTACTTGGGGGGTTATCAGCGTTGCGTGGTACAAATATTGTCCTCCTCATTCATACATTGTATTAGTGCTTAATAAATGAGAACAGGGACGTAGATCCAACCAACAGCACTAGAAAGTAGTTTCACTAATCTGGAATTGTGCAAAATAAACATTTAAAGTGATGTCTGCAGGAAGTATAATAAAAGCTAGGTGCAGGCTACTTACATATAGATTTACATATACCTCTGCACCACAAACGTTCAGTACCAGCTGACGATAAGGAAAATAAACAGTGGCGCAGAGAAAGAAATATACTCCTGGCAAACCATGTAAATTCAGGTCCAGGAGAAAGTCCATCTCAGTCTGTACACCAGGCTACACTCCCATATGAATTAGGCTGGAATAACATACTGTGTCACGTTGCACAACTTTGCACCTCCTGTTCAGTAGGAAAGATGTCTGACTTTCATGGCATAGTAACATGTGACAACAACTTGATGACTAATCTAGCCATAGCTATGGAAAAGATCCATCATTCTGTTAAATTAAGAGTTCCATTGTTTCATATTCTTCCAGCAGTTGAAGGGACTTGCAGCTTGATAAAGGGTCACACTATTTTAGACACCGAATAATCTGCAGCCTTGCCTGCTGCACGTAAAGAGCCTAGAAAATGGCATAAACCTAAAACTCTGTCACAGTACTTGCAATGCTTTTTTTTGTGGGGTAAGCCAAAGATGCAAACCGGAAAATGGTGGAGACAATGCTTTATGCGCAAATACTTCCTTGAAGCGCATATAGTCTACGTTCTATGCAAAGTTTACCTGTAGGGAGACAAAAAGGACATGAATGTCTCTAGCAGTACAGAAAATCAAAAAGAAAATATATAATTCAGTTTTTCACTTCAGTGGTTTGGAATTGAGCAGAGACATATTTCATTGAGCTGTACCCAGCACCCCTTCAAATAGAAAACACATAACTTATCTACATGGATTGATGCACAGGAGTTAATAACAATTCTGGTGCATCCAAGTACTCCGGGAGCATATTACCATTATTTTACGGGCTGCCTTGTCTATGTTTCTAGCACAGGATGCAAGGATTTGCAAGGTATTTTACCCCTTTCACTGCCACCGACGTATGGCATGTGGCGGAACACAACCGCTTGCAGCTGGCCATATTAGTGGCTTTCCTTCGTCTGCTATAAGCTCATCGACGTATTTCAGAAAGGTCCCCCCGACAATCCTCTGTAAAATAATAGTGGTCATAAGCCGCTCCATCTCGGATCCCCGCTGCTCTCCCCCGCCTCTATGGGCTGAGGCAGCGGGGATTCGTGGAGAAAATGACAGCTGAAGCCGGCAAGGGGGACTTGCAGGGGAGGGAGCCGCTTGTCATGTCGGATGGCTGAGCGGTGTGCAGAGAGGAGCCCGCCAGCTGTCAGATCCTAGCTGGTGGCTCTGTGATCTGCATGTGCTTCAGGATGGAGAGCTGGAAGATTGGTAAATATCTGTGATATTTACTGATCCTCTGTGTGCAGGACAAACACTGGAGTGATCAGCTGATCAGTCCAATGTTTGTAAACTACTGGGGACACATAGTACTATGTGTCCCCAGTTATGAATGAACAGGAAGTGCTTTACATCACTTCCTGTTTATTCATGAATTTCTGAATGGGGAGAAGCACTCAGTACAGAGGCTTCTACCCATTCGTAGCTGGATGATAGTGAAAATTTTACTATCTCCAGTTTATCAATGAATGGGAAGCCTCTGTACTGAGTGCTTTCCATTCATTCAGTGCTGAGGCTGCAGAAAAAAGGATTGAAGACTGTGTCCTCTATTGCTTTTTCTATTTCAAAAGGGAAATGTCAGGGGTTTGTTTAGATCCCTAATATTTCCCAGATGCCCCCCAACAGTAAAAAAATTTAAAATAAAGTAATAATAAATAACCCCTCCCCCCCAAACACATAACATACACCATATTGTGGTGTAAGCCCTGCGTTGTTAGAACGCATCACAGTGCTTGATTTCTTTTTTTAAATATTTTTAAAATAACATTAATTTAACTGTGTGGCAGCGCATGGCAAAGCGTTGTGATACGATGTGTTGCGATTAAATGTACGCCTAGTTTTGTGCTCCTTCATTCTTTTACCATTTTGCAAAAAGGCGCAATTTAAAACTTACAAATATTTGTTATTTATTAACTCAATACAGTTTTATCTTTTAGATGTTGTCGGAAAAGTATTTTTTTTGCACTGATACTGATTTCTGTGTGCACTTCTCAATTGAATTGTGTATTTTTTTCGGTTTATATATTTATTTGACAAACATATGCGCAATTATCACAGGACCTACAAAATTAGCAGTGCCATCTTTTTATTCTACCGAGCCTGTGCTTTCAGAAAGGTTTGGGGGGAATCAAAACGATGGGAAAATTTGCAACAATGCTGTGGCTAGCTGAGGTTTAAAGCGTTTGAGGGCTTGGCAGCGAAAGGGTTAAAAAAATGTTGTGTCCTTCATTTCCTCATGCTCTTTTTGATCTATGTTAGAATTGTGGTATATTGTTGGATATTACATATTAATATACTATACATTATCATTTTTCTATACTATAAATAGCATAACATAATGAGTTGGATAAATAACATATTCCTTTCTCTGACAATATAGTTGCACCTAATCACCAGCAGAGGTCCTCCTTACTACTGGGAACTACGGATAACCACTGCTGGACCGATGAAAAAAAATCCCTTCCGTCTCCACAGTGTGACATTTAAGCTTTCCATAAACTAGCAAGTCACGCACCGCAGCCTTGACTTGTTTGTATTTTATCTGAGCACTTGTGGAGGATCTGCTACCAAATGCCATCATTTTCTTTTCTAGGATTATGGCGACATGTTTCCTAGAAATTATAACACAAAAGCAGCCAAGAGTGTCTTTCCTAAGCTCTACTGTCATATCATTTTACTGGACACCATGGCACTCTGCCAGTCTGTCTGCCGCCCAAACACCTTCTCTATGCTGCATGGCCAGGCCGTGGCTATATTGTACAGCCTCAATGTAAAGACAAAAATAGTGCCTATAATAACAAGCAAACTCACATTTGTTGATGTTTTCTATATCTGCATGATCGGTCATGAAGCTGAGCAATCCATCCATGAGAAGCAAAGCTTTATGATACCTCTGTACACAGTCTTCCCTGTGGTTAAACATTTCATCCAGAGCCGCTGACTGTACCTGTGGGCACAATTCAGTAAGAGTTATAGAGTCTCAAGCACACAGTAGAGGCAGACCTAAAAGTTATATAGAGGTTATAATACTTTAAGACAAAACACAAATGTCTGGGAGAATAAAGGACTAATAATGAAATACACTGATCTTTATACTAAAATGCATCCAAGTCGATTAAGGCAAAGAACAAGGTTTAAACTACAAAATCCCAAATAAAGTAACCTGCAAACATAGTTCATTATTCTGATTGCTTTAAAATAAAAGGTGAAATCGAATTGCTTGATAAAGGTTAACATACATCATTGCCTTCAGTACTGCTGCATCCAATAAACCTGCCAGGCAAATTCAAGGCTGATTTTTTTTTAGTAGTTTAATAACTTGTAGGAAACATTATATGAGATACAGTTCTAGTGTAAGCACTGACCATACTCTTCACTACACAAAAGAAGACTGATTTCATCAGCTCAGCTATGCATAGGAAGTGTACAGGAGTGCTCAATGAATTCATCAATAATGTCAACTGTGTTTTTACCATTTGGACAGTGTAGCTGAAGATAAGCTTTTCAGCCGTGATGCTGTTGATTCGATCCATCAGCTTCTGTTTGTCAGCGAAGAACCTCTGGAGCCGTACGTTTAGGCAGTGACAAGAGGACACGCTAGATTTATACAGCTCGTTTAACTTCTTCACCACTATGGGAACAATAAATCATACAACACAGTCAGCAGCGCTCTATATGACCTGTGCATTTCACAACAAAAAAATCAAACTGTATCTTCTAAACCCTTAAAAGCTCAAAGTGACACTAAACTCAGGGAGTTAAATATTCAAAATGCATTTAAGTATCTTCACTATTAACATAAATTTATCTTATTTGTGTATCACTCAGCTGTAAATCCTCAAATCATCTCTGAATTCATGCTGACACTGTCCTTCCTTCTGGAGCGTGGCTACTTTTGTTCCTATGTTCCCTGTGTGTGTTGTAAAGTAGCCACCGCTCCAAGCTCACTCCTGTGATGGACTACAATCTCATGTTTAGTTTAGTTATTTGTATTGAGATTGTAGTCTACTTTACAACACACACAGGGACCATGGTGAACAAAAGTAGTCACCCTCCAGAAGGAAGGACAGTGTCAGTATGAATCCAGAGATGATTTGAGGATCTACAGCTGAGTGATACACAAATAAGATACAATTTTGTTAATAGTTAAGGTACTTGAATGTATTTTTAAGATTTGACGCCTGAGTTTAGTGACACTTTAACAACTTTGCTATCTAATAACAGTGCCTCTGTCTTAAGCTGGCCATACATGGAGCAAATTTAATCAAGAACTGGTCAAAATTCAAGCTGTGAGTGGCCTTGTCAACCCGCCACTGTCAGAATAAAATAGCCTGGCAGGATGGGGGTGTGTGGATGGAGGAATCCGTTCTGCCCACAGGCTAAACAAACAAATAAATCTACTAGCCAGCCAGCCTTACACTTGCTTTGAAGAAGCCAATGGGAAGATTGCAGTGTATGCATATGACAATGCCAGTGCTCCTATTGGACACCTCCTGCTGGGCTACCTGACATAGGGGCTAAATATTAAAGACAGTGTTTACTCTTATTGCTAGAGCTACTCGGATGATTGTATTCTCTTGCTACTAAGAGATTTAATAATTTGTTGGATGTCATCTCATTAGGCTAGAGGGGATTAGCTCAATCATGCTACTAAAATCACAAGGATGGCAGTAGCAAGTGATCACCAAACAGATAGGAAGAATGCCCCCCTATCTAAGCTACACAAGTAGCAGGTACCAGCATCTTGTAGTGATGAACACCATGCATGGATCATTGTAAAGTCATTTGAGATTGATTGCCACTACATGCTACTTGCACAGTGAATAGCAGGTGACTTGGTGAAGGAAGCCTCAATACCACTATAGGAAAGGCAGTGACTATAAAACAATAAACAAGTGAAGTTGACCGTTTTTGAACATGCACCATTTGACCGTTTGGAACATGCACTCTAGATAGGCAGAGCCAGCTATCAGTCACGCAGCTGGGCGGATCCCGGCATAATTGCAGGGATCCGCTTCAGCTGCGGCGTCTTAGTATACCGCGAGCAGCAGCTCGCGGTATACTGAGCCTAGGGTGACGTGAGGACGCTAGTTTGTGTCCTCCCGTGACCCTTAGGAGAACTATGGGGAGAAGCCTTAACCCCATAGTTCTCCTTTAACTAAGGTGGAGTCCAGCAGACAGGGGCAACTATTCAAAAGCCGATTAATCGATGATTGAAAACGTTTTCAATAATCGATTATAATCGATTATGTTGATTAGTTGTTGCAGCCCTAATACTATCTATCTATCTATCTATCTATCTATCTATCTATCTCACACTCATATACTGTACATACACACATGGCCTTAATTTTAAAAAGTACTTGGACTATGCTTTGCAATAGATAAGGTCATGATGATTACTGAAGTGATATTCTTCTGCACATTTGTAGTATCCTGTAAGTATCCATTCGCATAGGGTTAAGTTATACACTTAGATGTTACTGTGCAGTATACACAGAAAACACTTACCCTGTTTAACAGTGGAAGAGAGACACAGTTTACCAGTCCTGACTTGCTCCATGGCAGTCTGTAACCCATTTGAGAGAAGTTCTGCCGATTTCAAATAAAGAACTAGCTGTTCAGCATAACTAGAGAGGAAAAAAAGATACTTAAAAAAATGCTATTTACACTTTAAAAAAATAATAATTTATGTGTGTTTACTGTACGGCCTGTATAACCTTTTTTTATAGTGTCAGCCTGCTAATTGCATCTTTCTCTCTGTGAGACACAACTGACAACTGAGAAGGAAACAATCTGTGTGATCAATATGATTTTCTGCCATAGTGATCACATGACCAAGAACCGTGCTAATTGGCAGCTGTCAAATACAAAGTGGTCGCAGAACTAGAACTGCTAGTTATGCTATTGAACATTTAACAATGTTTAGGTTCTGGGTGGGAGGAGGTTAAGCACTGCTATACTACAGTTATCTCAGGCAACAAACAAATATGTCTTTATGATTGTTTAAAGTTAATCTGTCATGAGAGAAAACATGGGGGCTGACATTGCTGTCCTTTCCGTCTGCAAATGCTAACTGCCTGGCTATCCTTCATCTGTGACCACAGGGGGTATCATCCCTTGACAGTTTTCACATTGTTTTGGCACTCCTGTAACTAACTGCATTTTGCAGATGCATTTTATTATAAAAAAAACTGTATTAACTACAATGCTCTGACTGAAAGAGAGAGCCCAGCACAAGCCCAGTGATGAGGTTGCCCAGTCAAAGTGGCTACCAGCAGGTAACAATGGTCATTATTTTCTTGTCTCTGCAGCTATTATTAGTAACCTGCATGGTAATGCTTACACTACATATCAGGCATTTGTGAAAAGCAGCAAATTGTTCACTCGTCACAATGTATGAATGAAATGACAATGGACCAATTGTGTTCTTGGAATCTCAAGAGGATAAAAGGTACAAAAAAATGTCAGGACCATTAGTTTCTAATGTCCATTTTTGGTTATTTTTTAATAGCCAGGCCAGATACTATCCTGTGGAAAGCCAAGGACAAATGCCCTTGATATCTTTTCATTGACGAAGCCCTGGTAAGATATTCAAGCAAACACAGTACAATAATAAAACAGCACTGTGCTGTGCATACACTAATGAGCACACTTACGGCCCTTTTATAAACTATGTACGAAGTAAAGTATAAAGTATAGTAGTGTCTAGAACACACAAATCAGAATTTGCTGATCTCATAGCAGTACAAGACAGATTCTGACTTTTTGTTATGGGTGATTAACTTAACACTAAATCTTCATACGAGTTTTCTGAATAAGCTTGTAACTATTGTGATGTAATGCTCATATTGAAATTATAAGGACTACTTTTCTAATTATATTTCATTTAGCATCTGGTCATTTTTCTTCCGATCTTTCCAAAAGGCAATCTCACCTCCATTCTCTGCTTAGAAGGCTGATCTGATCGGCCACGACACTCTCTTGCATCTGGTACTCAGACGTGACAGATGCACTGGTATCCACAGAGCTTCCCTTAAGGCTGGCAATCTCCATGACTGAATGAGCAAAGGCCAGAGAGAACCGTAAGCTGCGTAGGGTGTCTGTGTGTTCTTGCTGCAATTGATAAAGCCCGGGCATTATTGCTAAGACAACGAAGGCCTAAATAATTAGGCATCTATTAGACATCATGAATAGACTTTGAAATATTACAATAAGGACAAGGGATCTTTTCTACTGGAGTAGTTCTACAGCCTGATCAGATTATAAGTCATTTCCAGAGAAATGGAAGTATTTCAGCAATATGGCAGAACTCAACTACAGGAGTATACAAGCCTTTAGGAACACATTAAACTAAGCCATTTTCTTGGTATTTAGGAGAAGTTACATCTAACAACGGTCATAATGGGGTATAGATGCAGTTTCCATAGTAACTTCTCTGTTCTTAGAGATGGGAGAATATGCGTGAGGACATTTTACTATTTAGCAGCATATAAAGCATGACCTAATTAGCTCCACGCTCATCATGTGTGCTTGCAGCCACACGCCAAGTGAGCACTAATTGCGCAATATTCTGGGAACATGACGTATCCCAGGCATCCAGCTGAACCTTGCAATATTTTCCTGTGACTTATTACTGAACTCCTGTGGTTTAGTCCTGTGAACACTTGCTATATCTGGCAAGGTGTGCACAGGAAACATGAGTCTGGTTTGATGATGTCTATAAATAAAGACAGGAAGGGCTAAACTAAATTCTCTCTGTGGTCTCAAAACCTTTTGCCATGTCAACTTTTTCCACGAGCTACGTTATAGTTTGCACAAAGAATATGAAACAAAATATCCATGTACCTCCATAAGCGTCTCCTCAGGAAGCTCAGGAACCTCAAACATCACAACTCCGTCAGCGTTTGCTGTAGTGGCTTCTTGGAACGTATACCTGAGGCTAGAAGGAGCTTCAAAGGTCTCACCTCCTGCGCCAACCACAACATGTCTGCCAGTGTATGAGCCAGCCGAGCTTTGAGAACTTGAAGATCCAACTAAGTGTTGTGGGAAGAGAGAAAAGATTAGTGAGTATTACTACATGACGATAACTACCAGGTGCAAGAAGGAAACAGATAAGCACCATAGACTAGATTATAATCGAGAGGAAATAAATGTCTGTGCTGCCTGTAGCAACCAACCAGAATATTCAGAAATGTCATTGCTTTCTTTATTTGGTATACATGATGACCAGTATAAATAAAACAGGTTAAGAGTTACCTGAGAAGAGCCGGGTTCGTGCTGCTTGGGTAGTAGCTGTTCCATCGGGGGGAGAGCCCACAGTGAAGATTACAGGAGCTGGACTGAGAGAACCTTGAGCCCCACTGGGAAAGTTTCCTCCATAGCCAATTAAAGGTGCTAAAAAAAACATAAAACACTTTATACAAAATACAAAAAAACATTTACAAATCACTTCAAAAGCTTCAAGCCGTTTCTGTGAAGTCCTCAATGCACCCTTCACCTCCAGCCTTAGAATGCTGAACACTGATTGTAAATTAAACCAGCGCTGATAGAAATATGGATACTGCCTCTGCCGATCTCCTTCAGAAACTGCTAGTTGTCTGAATGTCTCTTCTTTTAATACTTTTTCCAGTCACCAGGTCAAGAAACTACTTTTTCAGAAGCAATAAAGTGTTGGCTGCTGTAGCTTAAAACAAGCCTTTAGCAAACTTTAGCATTGCACATTCATTAGGATCTTTATTAAGCTAACCCAAACTGGAGCTGATGACTACATTAGGGTCTTCAAGAAAAATTATCATAGCTTTTAAAAAGCTTTGTGAATCGTCTTTAACCTAGCGTTCACAAATAAATAGAAACATAACATCACGAAAGACAAGACAATGTAAAGAGCAGAATGCAATGCATGTTTTCTTATTCTTTCATTTTTTTATTAGACAACTATTAATGCAAAGCAAAAGCCCTAAAAACAAACACCATCTGAAGTAGAGTTTCCCTGTGCTAGCAATGCTGGAGTTACTGTTAACCAAACATTTTTAAAGAGATCTACCAAGTGCAAAAGTTGTTGCTTTGAGTACGAGTTTAATGCAAGCTAGATAATTCAGTAGAACCCCCCACGCCCAACACCTTATGTGCTGCAACCACAACCTAGTACCTGTATTGTAAGAGGAGTACAGGAAAGATGTGTATATATGGCTTTGAAAGAAGAACTCCAGACAGTAAGTCATTTAGTACACAGTGTCACATGCAATGATGGGAAACACTTCTGTCCCACACAGCTGCAAGATGTGCTAATTTTCCAAGTTATTATGAACCCACTTTAAACAAAATTGACCTTTCAAACCTTTTAGTCAATCTCCTTTAAGTAATACATGCCTTTATTTCCATATTGAGTAACAGCTCAGTTTTACCATTTGTGATGTACAACTACAGGGAGGCAATCGGTTTGGGTCTTCTATAATATTATCAGAACTATCACTGTGAAAGCCTCCATTTGTATGACAAGGTCGGCTAACATAAAGCAGGTCCATATATTACAAATAATATTTAGGCCTATCTATAAAAAGGAACAGCCAGCAGTAATATATTTGTGTCTCCTTTTTCTTTTAAGAAAAATGCCATTTTAACTTGAAAAAAAGAGTTCATGATTAAATGCTTTACCTTGCAGTGATAGGGTGTAAGAAGAACTCACAACAAAGGTGTTTGTGTTCTCAGCAGTCACAAAACCCAGTTCACAAGCACCTGGCAACAAGCTAAATCACTCAGAATGTCACCCTGCTTACCCACTGGGGGCTGCTTTAAGAGTAATGTAAGCCCTGGAGATGAAAGCTGCCTGCTATGTCAACTTAGGTAAAGCATATTATGGTACAGGAAGTGGTCCAAAAGGCAAAGGATGACATATACATCTGCAGGAAACATTGGGTGCATACACTCCGAGTATAGTGCATACAGTTTTCTCTAAGAGCAAATCTTTAGGCAACATGCTTAATTTATAAATGGCATAAAGAAAAAAGTAAATCATAGTCATTTTTTTCAGTGAAAGCAACATTTGCACAGTTGCATACATTTTAAACCAACAGAAAATAAAGGGTAGATATCGTTTCTATAGTAAACACAAAGATTTGACATTATAAAGAAGTCGCATCCCACCTGCTATTTCCATGGGCTTCTCTGCATTGAGACTATCTGTGCTCCCAATCTCTGTAGCCTGTGTTCCAAATGCTGCTTTAAGCAGGAGATCTGTGAGTCTGCCAGTGCTGAGAGACCTGTTGGAAAACAATCATGTATATACTCAAACATATATTAACCCAACTGAACTACATACTGGAGAGCTAAACATGTGAAGGGATTGCTGTACGCTATAAATATGTTTATAGCTAAAGTTGAGCTATAGTTAAAGTTCCCTCTAAGCTTAGGAAATATGATAGATTACAAAGGTAAACATTCTTGCTTTTAAGATACACAAGTCACTTGAGGTGAATATATTGAAACAACATTGTATATAAAGAAATGGTCTGCTAAGGTTAATGTTAGTTGTGAGCAATTCTTCGCTTTGAAATAAAATTGCTTTGTGCAGATACCTGTACATATTATCAGCATGTGAGCACGAGGCAATCTAGCCATACTTGGCAGTGGAATTATTTTAGAACACTAATAAGAGTTCATATACCTTGAACAAGCATTTAGAGCAGTGCAGTTGATAATAACCTGAGATGTACACAACCACACTTCTATACCAGCTTCTATTTACCCGATCACAAACCTGTGTCCCGAGAAATGGAGGAAAAATCTGGAGACGACCATCCAAACAACCTCTGACTTTCCACTGCAACTGATGTTACTTTTATTTCACCCTACTGATCTAATAAAATCCTAAAAGGACTACTAATGACAATCTGATCTTTTTATATAAATTAACAGGAGGATGTACAGTATAAACACATAGGTGAAGGAAAATGAAATGACAAAACTTACAGGGTTATTCATAAAAGGGTGAAGAGTTTGGAGAAGGCAGGAGAAGTGAACAATCTACTAGAAGTGAACAAACTACTTCGGTCACCCCCTTGCTCTATCCTAGACTCTCTTACTCACATTTTCAATCTTTCCCTCTCTACTGGAATCTTTCCTACCCCTCTCAAACATGCACTAGTCACCCCAATACCCAAAAAACCTTCACTGGACCCTACCAACCGCAATAATTTCAGAACTATCTCCTTACTCCCATTCACCTCTAAACTACTAGAACGCCTTATCTACAACCGCCTGAGTTGCCACCTGGCTAATAACAACCTTTTGGACCCCTTTCAGTCCGGCTTTCGCCCTCAACACTCCACTGAAACAGCCCTCCTAAAACTCACCAATGACCTAATAACCGCTAAAAACAACGGCCACTATTCCTTACTTGCTACCACTCGCCCAGAGGATAAAATTCAAAATATTAACAGTGACTTATAAAGCCATTCACAACTCCGCCCCCTGATATATCTCAGACCTTGTCTCAAAGTATCACCCTAACCGTCCCCTCCGCTCATCCATTGACCTCCTGCTTTCCATCTCCCTTGTCCACTCCTCCCATACTCGCCTCCAGGACTTCTCTAGAGTCTCTCCCATCCTCTGGAACTCTTTACTCCAACCTGTCCGTCTATCTCCCACCTTGACTGCCTTTAGGCGTTCCCTAAAGACTCATCTCTTCAAGGAAGCCTATCCCACCTCGACCTAACCACTGAACCTTCACATTCTCAAATAATTCATCCCCACACAGCTACCTCCTCATGTATCATTTCCCCCTCCTCTTTTAGATTGTAAGCCCTCAGGGGCAGGGCCCTCCTTACCATCTTGTCTTGAATTGTATTGTAATTGTAATGTCTTCCTTATATTGTAAGCGCTGCGCAAACATTTGGCGCTATATAAATACTATGTAATAATAATAATAATCTAGGACAACATAGCTGATTTGGAAAAATTCTCCAATTCAGCTCACTTTCCAGTTCAGCTATGTTGTCCTAGATTGTTCACTTCTCCTGTCTTCTCCAAACTCTTCACCCTTTTGTGAATAACTCTGTAAGTTTTGCCATTTAATTAGTTAGAGTTACCGGTTATCAGAGTTTACACTATACCCTTTGGGACCAGAGAAGTGCATCTCTGATGCCAAATTAGTATTGACTGTGCTGGAAATTCTCTGCAGATCATTATTAGCTGTAAACATCAGGGTGGTCTTTTTGCGATTGCCTTAGCCCAGCCATAAATGACACTCAGATGGAGGTAAAAGAAAAATGGAAATATAGGTTGAGAACTAAAAAGTTACAGTATATGCAACGCTAAAGTGTAAGTATCTGTATAATTCGGGGTGAATTAACTAAAAAACATCTGCAGTGGTAATCAACACCTGGCTTAATAAAAAGACTACTGGGATTTAAGGTATGTGTCAAAGTAATGAAAAAAAAGTGTGGGGGTGGGCTTTAAGAGATGGTGACCATCGCATAAACCATTTAGCCTAAATTCCTCTAATGCAAATAAAAAAAAGGCCTATAATGCCTATAGGTTTACCTGCCGAAAGGACCTTTCCCTTCTTCCACAGGACGTAGGCCCAGACCAGGTTGCTGGTACTGGTACTGAACTGCATTCTTCAGGTCTGGGAGAGTCTTGTTCCTGGTTGGAGGGACCATCATTCCTTGCTGAGTGAGAAGAGTTAGCAAGTTTTGGGAGCTACCTCCCTTGGGGAACTCAAATGGTGATATACTCTGCAACAGGGAAAACAAAAAGAGAATGACAAATATGTTCAATTATTGATTCCAGTTGACTAACCTTCTTCTTGGAACAAGAAGGTTAATAAAATAAGACATTTATTTTTTCCCCCGCAACAGTTCTGGGAAGTATATATCCCGCAACAGTTCTGGGCAGTATATAGAAAGTTGTCAAATCCACGCATGCAATGCTTTGTGACCTTTACGTTTCTGTGTCAATGGTCCCGATTAGGGATGCACCGATACCAATACCCGTACTTGCCCAAATGCTCCAATGCCTGGCCCGGTACTTGAGCTTCCGGTATCAGGAAGACGGGCAGCGAGTCATTACACGCTGCCCGGCTTCCTGATTGCCTGGGATGCCGGCTCCATGCTCCCTCGTCACTTGTAACGAGGGAGCATGGAGCCGGCTCCCCGACCAATCAGGAAGCCGGGTAGTGTGTCATTACACGCCCCCCGCTTTCTGATTGGCCAACAAAACAGATGTGCATGTAAGTCAATTGAGGCTGTTCACACCTTTGCTTTGCATAGCACGGCCGAAATCGCCTGTCGTGCAAAAAGGTACAGGAGCTATTTTTGGGCAGTTGTCGCGCATTTTGGGTTCCATACACATCTCTATGCATTGAAACTGAGCATTAACCGAGTGGTTTTCAAAGCAAAATCGCACAAACAAAAACACTCGGCTCACCAGCTCAATCGCCTAGGTGTGAACCTAGCCTATAAGGTATCTGTCAAAAGTAAGTCATGAAGTTAGCTGGGGTCCTAGGTTCTTTTTGGGGTTTTTTTTTTGTTTGTTTGGTGTGCACTTACAGATTACAAAGATAAATGCACTGTGAGTCATATATTTTAGGGTCCAAACAATGACTTCAATGGCTTTAGCCTACAATTTTATCTTTCTCACCTTTGTTGGTGAACCCAGTATAGTAGGAAGGGGGCTTCTCTGCATGAACTCAGATAACTTGGGGGAGGACCTGAGAGGTCGTGTGGGTTGAATATTATGGATTTGTTGGGGTGAACATTGTGGTGTGTGGGTGCCTTTGGGCATCATAGGATCTGATAGCTGTTTCTTGATTTTCTGCCGGCACGGTTGTAAATCTGACAAGTTAGGAGCGCTGTGACGAGATCCCATTCCACAAGAGCTCTGTGCTGGAACACCTGGGAAATATAGATAACCTGCATTTTAATAAATTAATAATGTAAACCAAGAGGATTGTCTACATGTTTACTAAAATGAAACTACAAGATCTGATTGTACATTTCATTGTTCTTTACAAGTTTGATTTTAAAACGGAACGCCAGCCTTTCCTTTTGCCCTGCAAAGTTGTACAGGCTCCTCTCCTTTCCTCTCCTGCACTGAAATTGAAATTTTTACAGTGTGCATTAGAATCTGCAGCACATCTTGGCTGCAGGATACTCTTTCCCATCCCTTTTATTCATTGGATTTCAGTCTTTTCAATCAATCTTGGAGGCTCAGCATTACATGTGGACATTACCAAGGTCAGTCTGCATGCAAATGCCTAGATATGCCCACTGCTCTAGACCGACATCCACCCATGAAGGCATCTTGATATTTGAATAACTTCTCTCAAGAGCCAGCACACTGCTTGCATCAGGGCTGAGGGCTCTTGAGAGGAGTATTGAAGTACTCTGCCGGACCCTCCATTCATTCATGATCTGCCTGCATTATATAGAGAAGCACAAAGACCCAGGGATTATGTAACTGGGCCTGAAATAAAGTATGTAATGAGAATGAAATGGTTTTATTTAAAAATTCATAATGATGAGGGGGGATGTCCAGGGAAGGCAGAATATTAAGTAGATTACAGTTCAGCTTTAAATTCTCTTTTACTGTTGATCATGCAAAGCAATCTGGAAGGAACTTCACCTGAACTGTCCTTAGCCTGGTGCTGGAAAAATACCAGTGCCTGTTGAGAGCAAATGTGCCTGTGCATGCTTGAATGAAGGGCTGACTCACTCGGTGACTCACAATGCCACTGACACAGCATGTTTAGCAAACAATAAAATCTTATGTAGTTTTCAATTATAGTCTCTACTGAAGCCTTTAATAAGGAAATGTAAAAACTTGCTCAAATGCTAGACAACACTTGCCTGTGTACATTTTAAGACAGGGTTACTGGAAAATAAACAGACATGGAAATGAAGTACAATTAACTAGGTGTTATGTTCACTGAGCTTTAAAAAAAAAAATAGCCATAAAAAGTGCCAAAAAAGCCCCAAAAGTACCAGTAAAGAAAAGGAGCCCATGGCTCCATATACTGTTCCCTCTACAGTGTTGGCAATTAAAGCAAAGCTATGTTGCTGTAGTAGGCAATACCTTCACTTTTACTTTGCTCCTGTTTTAAAGCTAAACTCCAGGGAGCTGTTTTACTTGCCAATAATTTCCATTCCTGTCTATCCAGTCCTGAGATCCAGTCTGAAGAGATTTGTCCTTTCTCTACACTGTGACTGGACAATGAAGGATGGTAGCAGGCAGATGAGCTCAGTATGTTCCTTGTTAGCACATGAGCACTGAATGTTTCCCTGTACTGCTTCCACCTTTCCCATTATGAGCTCTGCTGATCTAGAACTGCAAGAGGCTGACAACAAGTTAAATTTACGCGCTCACGTGCTTGTCCAGTGTTCAGTTTTAAACATCAACGACCGTATTCACAAATGATCATTCAGAAGTGGTAAACCTACTGAAAGCTTTGCTAAGCATACCATAGACAGGACTCCTGTTTCTGTGTTCAGCCCCTCCAGGACTGCTACTAAAGTCTTGCACCGGTTGCTCAGGTATAGTCCCCACTGAAAAAAATATGAATGTATTTAATTTGATAGGTATTAAAATATATTCTAAGTACAACATGCTAACACCAACAGCCACACTTAAATGTGTACATCTTTTGCCTAATTAAGCTATATCCTGGGAATATTGTGTAATAAGGCAAGAAAAGTCTAAAGCTAGCCATAAACGGCTCTTTTTTGTTTTGTTTAACCCTCGGGCTGCAACATAAAAAATAGCGCAGATTCCTCCATCAACGCTATGCACGTGTTGAACTAAAAATCCCCGTGGTTTCTTTTGAATTCTACCAGCGGCAGCCGGCCGCTGTCAGCATACCCAAAACAGAGTCAGCAGCACTGCCAGCCTTGTTCGTACAAAGATTTTCCAACCGCCTCCTTCCATCAGCTTCCTCAAGAACTGGCCGAAATTCACACAGTGTATGGCCACCTTAACAGTACCACTGGGTAAAAATGGCTTTCACCAAGTTAAATTGGTTAAAAGGTGTTAATCTATTGTTTTATGTCACAAAAATCTGGGACTGTGTACTTTATTTAATGCAAGTATATAGCTCCAACATATGCTGCAGTGCTTTACAGAATACATTCAACATTTATGATATTCTTTACCTTTACTCAAGCCGTAATCTATCAAGCACAGCCATACTATACATAATGTACAGGTGCATTATATGGAAGCCAAATAACGTCCCAGAAAGTTTTAGCGGTTGTGGCATGAAACTATAGTGCCTGTATGAAGGCTTGGAAAGCATAATAAAATCAATGTGAAAGTGCCCTGATGGGAACTGGAACCAGAAACCGAATACTGAATGTGACAGTGCTGGCTTACCCTGTGGAGAGGGAATGTATGGTTTCGCCCCTCCAAACGAAAGCCTTCTTGTAGTTGGAGCAATGGCGTACTCTACAGGGAACGGAGGAGAATTTCCAGCCCTCATGAAATTGATTGGACTGGCACTGCTGGACTTTCTCACCATACCAGATCTAGAAGCACCAATTTAAAAGTTTACTTAAATACATTTCGTATACATGCACTAAAATATAAAGAATATTTTACACCTGGAAACACATCAGAAGTGGCAGAAAAGAAGTAATCACCAAGTAATTTGATAAATAAGTAAACTGCGCAATCTTGTACAGCAGTACAGTGCTAGTATCTTGTCATCACACATAGTCAATATATACACTCACTTCTGTGGGGTGTACTGGGTGGGGGAGTGCAGGTTCTGCTCTATCCTCCGATAATTGTCAATTTGGCTTGGTACTGGAATGGGCACTGACTGGCCACACCTGCTTCCTGATGTCTGAGGCAGTCTAGAACAGAGCAACAAAGTCATCATATTATAACTTCTATAATTCTGAAGTTTAAGTAAATCTAAGTAAGTTAAGGCAAGTAAATAAGGCAAGGAAACCGCTTTATCGCTATACTTTATGACAATTCTAGGAAACATATATTTTATCTCTACCAAAACAGAAGGGTGATCTTTCCTACCTGGACGTGCTGGGAGAGCAGCTATAAAGTGGTGTAGGGGAAGGAGTTCGAGCTCGGCTCTCCTGGCCAGTTGATGTCAGCAAAGAACTAATAGGAAATATTAACACAGCGTTACACCACAGAGGTCAGTATAACATGAATCATGTGCAACCATTTCTATTATTTATTTAATCATTTGTAGTGAATCAAATCAGTTACAAGAGACATAACACTAAATCAGTGAAGAGTAAGCTTACCCACTACACATTAAAGTATCCTGGGTAGGTTTGCTTGTAGCAGCTTCAGCAATATCACCTTCAATATCAAAAACATGGTGTTAGATAAAACTGTTACAGACTCAGAGGCAATCAAAATTGTTTTCAGCTCTATTTGTCCTTACACAAAGCCTGGCTATACGTTTTATAATAACCTGGGAAGTTTTCTCTTCAATGCCTGCTCTCTCAGTTTTGGGTTTTAAATGGTGTCATGCCAAAGTGTTCTCTGGATGCTTTGGGGTAAGATCACTGCATATGATGGTATTGGGCTATTCTGTGTGACAAAAACTAGACAGCGTGTGGTCCAAGCAATGTAGTGACCTAAAACTGAAGCTCATCAACTGGTGGCAAATCTCCACATGCCAAGTGCACCAGTTAGCCAACTCTGCAGGATAACTTTTCGGTAATTTCCTTTGCAAAACGGCATTCATCACATATAAGCCAACTGTGTAATGCTGGCTATACACCAGTACAATTTTGTTTGAAAAAAATATTTTTCCAAAATATTTGTTTAACTTTCTAATAGTTAATGGGGAGTGAATCAACGGTCATTTTCGACAGTAGTGACGAAAAAAGCAGCATGATGGAAATTCTTTCCCGAATGAACGATATTTTAACAGTGAATTTGCTTTTCGTTCATGAAACACTATTCATTTCCAACATCAGGTGTTAAAGTGAAATGAAACTTTGAACATCTGTCAAGTCTTTGATGGCATTATCTAATGTTCTGACCAAGAACAAAAATCTGCCAGTGTGTGGTCAGCTTAGAGTGACTAATGTTCTTTAGCTGATTCTACCCTTAAGCTGCCTTCACATGCTCACAGTTAGAAATCTTCTGAACTCTACTGTACTAGCCACTCACTCTTAGCTATATGCAGTATTATAATACTTTTGACAGAATAAGGCCCTTAGAAACATTTGAAATCTTTCCAAGATCTCCAACTAGCCCCTGGACAAACTGTTAATTCCTAGAAAATCACACCTGCCAACTAATCTCACGAGGTTTGCACGGGGAGGGGGGGGAAAAAAAAAGCAAGTTCTTTGTTATAATTGCCTGGGAAACAAACCAGACTTTAATTATTATGTTCAGTCTGAGCTGCAATAATTAGCTAGTACCACATAACGATGCAGATCACTGGGGCACAAGCAGAACAACAAAACCATCACAATTGTCCTATTAGCCTGCATGCTTCATTCTGCCTATCACAGTACATTTTGTTTTCAACCCCTTTCCAGCTACTGAAAGGAAATTCACAGGGAAGACAGCTGCTCTTAAATGCAGCAGTTAAACATAGCTTTTCACAAAATGCCTCTGGATTACTTGGAAGTATGCTTTATGCTTCATTTTCCTGCCCTGGGCTCATCTTGTTAGGCAGGAAAATAACGTCATAAACATTAAATTATTTAACTAAAGTGCAAATTAAAGCATCCAGAAAAGAGTGTGAAGAACCTCTGCCATTACATTTACATAACCGTTGATCTGTTGGAAAATAGGCTAATGGCTTAGAATGCATTTCCCAAGTTTATTAAGACAATGGAATTCTGCTTCCTTGAAGGCTGGGTACACGGCAGGATTTTAATAACACCATCATTCTGCTTAATGCATTAAACTTTACTTCGTATATACTTAAAGCCAAAACATTTTTTTTCACATTGGATAAACTAGGAAGTGGTTCAAACTCATGTCAGGTATTTTGCCATTCGTGTCCCATTGGAGAGATTTTCCTTAACTTGCTGTCCCTAAGACACAACAGTACGTCAGAGGAAATCTCTCCAATGTAAGTGAAATCCCTTCTTAAACAGTTGGCACCTGAACACATTGGAAGATTTCACCTCTACCGCTGTGCTAGCGACAACTAAAAATTTTGGATTTTCCCTCATTTTCTATCTTAGTGACAGTGGTTACCAGGCAAATCTCACTAGCAGGGAAAGCTATGACAATAAAAAGAGTTCCAATTCTGCCCCATTGTATATTAAAAAAAATGTTTTAATTTTACATGAAACTGTGTGACCCTGCTTCAAAGTACCAACATACATCAAATTGTCAATGACTTGTGGTAATGTCAGCAGGATTTATTAGTGATCCTTCTAGACCTTGTTAGATATCCTTGGGTGAAGGATACCAGGAGAAAAGACTTTCAACCAGGCTGCTATTCAGCTGTCTGCAGCGCACACAGGCATGCATACTCAAAATCAACAGGCAACCTTTTATGAATTTCGCTAGTGAAACATTTTTTTAACCAGTAGGATTGTGTATGGATGCCCAACCACAAGTCATTGCCCACATTTACAAGGTATTGCAGCTGTAGTTTGTGGTCTGCTTAACTACAACTCAGGGACATGCGGTCAGGGGAGGCAGGTTAGGCAGAGCCTCATCTAGAATTATGGAGGAAAAAGCTGTCAGCTTCAGGTCTGAAGCTGACACCTTTTTCTCCATTCAGATCGGCATCTAACATGTTACAGAGCAGGGAAATCCTCCCCGCTGTGTAACCTGTCACGGAGCTTCAGCGGTGAGGAGCAAGTGAGGGACATGGAGGCTCCTCCCTGTCTCCTCCTTTACACTTGCTTGGGGACGGGGCTTCGGCCGGCGGGGGCAGAGCTTCGGCCGACAGGAGGTGGGGCTTTGGGCGGCGGGGCTGGGGAATGCCTCACCCCGAGCAAGAGGTACCGCACGTCACTGCTACAACTCCCAAAGTGCACAAGGTAGTGACAGCATACTAGGAATAGCGGTGCACAACAGCGCAATTGAAGAAAAGCTGCAGCCTTATCATGTTTAACACAAGCTACAAGATTGTTCAACATGACCTTTCTGGTAATTATTGACAGATTACCCAAATGGAGACCTTTCACTGCATTGATAGGCATTTATGTTAAATAATGCTAGTCTCTCGTCTTTTATCCAAGTGTAACAAACAAACCTTGATAACCTGGAAACTGTGCAGGCACCATAACAAAGTCGTCTGTGTCACAAGAGGAGTTTTTGCTGCTGCTTCCACCAGATTCCTTTGAGCCTTGAAGAAAGCCTGGAGAGTCAGGTATGGGGGAAACTAGGGTTTTCTCTTGTAGCTGCTGCATTTCTCCAAGAGACTGCTAGAGACAGAGGAAAACCAACCTTGATTAAAGAAAGCTACAACTCAATAATGTGAATATCATCCTGATGGCATATAACCGCATAAAAACAGGTATCCCACTCTAACTTTATTCTACAGGCATGTACCATTGCTCTAACATGATTTATATGCATTCTATAAAAATCTTTGCATACCAGTTTTACTGAATAATAAAAATATGTTTTGAATATACTTTCGCCCTTTCACTGTCAGACCAATTTTTCCAATTTCTTTTTAGCCAAAGAGCATGCTAAAATGCACATTGTTGACTAGAGACCTCCAAACTATATATTTTCTGAAAGCAGAGCTTGTAAAAAATAAAAAGATGGTAGGGTTTATGAATTTTATTTAAAACTTTATGATGTTGCGCAATATTTAAAAACATGTTTTAAGAAATTTGTATTAAAAAAAATGAACGGAATATATTTCCACATTATTCAATGGAAAATATAAGACTGTGTCCAGTTAATAATCAATTAATTTATTGAATCTAAAAATCATATGTGCTCCCCAAACAGCAAAAAACTACAATACCCAAATCGTAAGCAGGCATTGCATTCAAAATCTTTAAAAGTAGAATTAAATTGGAGAGTCGTCCTGGCTGCAGCGCGGCTCTGGGCTGTCAGCATATAGCGGGCAGTAGCCTGCTATATGATGAGTTTTGGGTCACAGGAAGACATTACTATATGTCCTCCAGTGACCCTGAGGAGAACTATGGCAAAATAAAGGTTAGGTCATAGTTCTCTTTTAAGGCTCATCACTTTAAAAGGTAAATATTGCCCTAAAATTAGTTTTCAATTACACTTGACTTTTTTTAAATCTATCCTGGTAACTATCACAAGGGACCAACAAGCTGCCGCAGGATTGCGGAAGAGCCAGATGACTGCCAGGGCTTGCAAAGGTTACAAATGTTAAAACACAATACTACTATAGTTTTTTTGGTCCTAGAAAGTTTAAATAGTTTCTTCCCTGTACTCGTTACCAAACAGAGACAAGTAGTGGTTTTGTTAACTGTCCATTATGTCCCTGTTTTGGCTGGACAGTCCTAAAATGTATAGTACAATGAAAGAAGGCTTAGATAGAGTGTAATATCCTAAGTAAGATCCTAGGAAGAATTTTGTTTAAGCCCCTTCACAACTTACTTCCACCCAAAACAGTAATAGGTAGAGTCTGGAGAGGCATCTACGGGCTCATACATCTTGAGGAATCCATATCAGTGAGATCTCCCCACCAAAATTCCTGGCTTCTTTCCAGCCCATTTTAGAGTTTTGGGTCTTCCTAACCACCTTAGTGTTTTCCCACTCCTCCTGTTTTTTCCACAACATACATTAAAAATCCAACAGGTAGAATATAAACTCCTTATAATGGCTACTGTGGGGTTGAAGACCAGTAATCTCCAGGACAAACATCTCACCACTGTAATTTATTTTCGGTGGAATTACCTAATTTTGGGTAGCATTTCACCAATTAAACTACAACCAAGTATAATAAATAACAATAAAACAGAATAGAAAAGTAGTAGCCCAATATCTGCCATCCTCTTTATTAAGCAAAACTATTAAAGCAGCCCTTAGAACAGTGGTTCTCAACCTTTCTAGGGCCAGGACCCCTTGGTAACATTTGCCAAGTTGTGGTGAACCCCAACGGTAAAATTTAGGGATGACGGGGCTGCTGCAGTGACATCTGGTGGCGTGGCAGTAGAACTGACACTGCTGCGCTAGGAGAGGGCTGAGGAGGACTCTCACCTAGCACAGCAGAAATCACACAGCGACCCACAGGTTGAGAACCCCTGCTTAAAAGGAGACAACAAATCCCAGAGGAATACAACAAATCGCAGCAATAGTCCATTATACTATAATGTTCTTTTGCTGGGATTTGTAGTCCTCTGTAGCTGGTGTTATTCTGCGTTGCGCTGTAGAATTTATTATTGCTGGGATTTGTAGTCCTCTGTAGCTGCTGGTATTCTGCAGTGTGCTGTATAATGAATATACTGCGCAGCGCAGAATAACACCAGCTATAGAGGAATACAGCAAATCGCAGCAATAGTACATTATACCATAATTTACTATTGCTGGGATTTGTAGTTCTCTGTAGCTGGTGTTATTCTGCGTTGCGCTGTATAATGTACTATTGCTGGGAGTTGTAGTCCTCTATAGCTGCTGGTATTCTGCGGTGTGCTGTATAATGATTATATGGCGCAACGCAGAATAACACCAGCTACAGAGGACTACAAATCCCAGCAATAGTA